CTGAACGAAAGAAACGACTTGTGAACTGACTTGTGACAGTGGGGAGAAAACGAGTCATGCTTCAGTGCAATCAGTTTTGAGGGAATTACGTCGCAACTCGTTTTCCACAAGGAAAAACTATACAATTGTGACATTTTGACTACTGAACCAGAATCAAAGAGATTATTTGAACTCGTTGTGTGAATGCACAATCTTTAATCGCTAAGATCTTTAATGAATCAACCCCTCATATAACTTTTAACATTATCCTGAAGTTAGAAATAGAGCCAAATCGATTTCGTCCGAACTATATGATATGGCCTACAGAAATTACACTGCACGTAAAAGGCAAATATATTTTGCGGTATTCAAGAACATTCTTTCTGTTGATTTTTGTCGCATTAGGAAAAACTAAAATTTATAACGGTGAAATGTTGGTCGCCCATACATTTTCATAATGAGGCTATTTCTGACACCTTTCTTTTCATGCAATTAATGGCATGGCGTTGATAGCCATTTCCACTACATTAACCAGGAGTGCCTCTTTGTATCGTTTAAAAAGCAGAGTTATGTGGCAAGGATAGTGCGTAATCTCCTGTTCCCGTTCCACACATGATGCGTATTTATCAGCCTTGGAAGAAACTAAAGGGAATGACCTGACCGGGTCTCAAACTGGGGACTCTCGGTCTTGATTCTAACGGTCTACAGACTGAGCATGTCGGTTTACCATATAATAGTCTCTGAAGATGGATGCATCTCTATTAAAACGTCCGGATTATATTAAATAAATTTTATTTGCGAACCAGATCTTTGAACACATTGTAAATGAGTTACTCGACCAAAACACAGAATGAAGTCTCCCTCAAAGTTCAGGGCTGTAATTCTTAAATTATGGACTTGGCATTCTTATTCATAACGATAGTGATCTTAAATAATTCTGGTCTAAATTGCCACTTAATCGAAGGCAAAAGCCTTCATTCATAACACTCACATTTAGTAGCTCAATTAATATTTTCAGAGTTACAGCTCTCCTAGCAACCTGGTGAAAATTTCATGATTTTCCATAGCCGCCGCAATTACGAGCATGATAAGGTAGTTTAGAATCGGTAATCACCATATTCTTGCATCATGAATTCTTTTCGAAAATAATTGAAAGACAAATGAAGAAATCGTCAATTTTTCGAGCACTATGACTATACTAAAGACGGTCCTAGGCTTTGCGTAATCAACTCTGACTTTTAATTCTCTGAAAATTAAGGAGGCAGTAAAAGCTATTCATAAATTCAACCAATTTCTATTTACTCTGTAGTTTAAAGTATACACATCATAATATAGTGAAGTCTAATCCGAAATGAACTCTCATCAAAAATGGCAACCGAGCAGTCCTGAAAATAAAGCTACATTTTCTTCTGTTTAAGGTTTATTTCTACAGAAGCCATTCTTCTAATTCAGAATTCAAGTCAGAATTCACACGAAAGAACGCTCAAAAAATTATGCACGAATGAATAAATGATCGATTGAATGAAAGCAAGAACGGATGAACGAAAAACATTCTCAAAAATAATATTGGACTCACTTTTGTGAACAAAATTTTTGAAGACCGCAGTTTCGACGTGGTATTAGAAATGGGCAAAACCCTTGTCAAAATTGAATGAATTGCCATGCAGTATAACCGCCTGGAGTCCATTACATTATTAGTGAAACTGTATGATTCAAAAGGCATAGCTACATCGCTGACCTTCAGAGAAAATTAATTTTGAAATATTCGACTTTTCAATACCATCGAAGTCAAGTCTGCACTTGCCAGTCAATGGTAGCTAACTTTGATGATAAAGTGGACCAAATACATGGGCCTATTCAGAAACACCTCAAAATTTCTCAGAGAAACTTAACACTGCTTTTGGGAAAAATTGTGAAACTTAATAGTAAGGGATATGGCCGTAAATTAGGAATCAAACGTACCTATTTTCTTAAATATTCTGAATGATTCGACAGAAATCGGATTTGTGACCCCCATTGCAGGCGTCTAAGAACCGCTCTCGGCATTCATGGATTTCAACGGTCGCAAAAAATTAATTTAAAAATTTTGTACAGTTGGATTTTTCCTTGGTCATAAGCCATGCCATTTTTTAAAAACTGTGATCCCCGGTACAAGCAGTTGAAATGGGCTTTCTGAGACGAATCGCTTAGCTCACGCGTACCGGTAGAGTCTAGAGCTCAGACATTCTGAAGGCCTTGGTATACGGTCGCTAGTTCTGTAGATACAGATATCACAGTCGCGATGGTTTGGTACTTCTTTCGAATGCTTCCAGCAAGGAACGCGAAACAGCAGCCACTTGCTCAATTGGTCCCAAGATCCCAAGGACGGCCAAAAATAATCTGAGCAACTGATACGCTGGCACAGCATCGAGAACGTTGGAAACACTGTGTAATGCGTCTTCCCCCGCGACCGAAAAGCATAATCTTTCAGCGAAACTGATTGACTGATTAATCACAAAATAATCTTCTGGTATCCTCTGGTACATCCATTTCTCCACTGATGAAAATAAGATGTATAGTGGGTGCGCTAAGCAATATGACATATTCAGGACGTTGTAATTAAATTACCTCAGTTTGCTTCGAACAGAATGACCGATATCTTTTAATTTATGCTTTCGAGCCATCGCAGATTTATTACTAAATATATCATGATTTATCATTAGTCATAATGGTGGATGTGCGGTCGACCAAGTCGTTGATTGGCTAAACAAAATTATGGAATCGAAAAAGATAATCATATTTGATCATGCAGGGAATCAATGAAAGTTTCGAAATTATCGTTGCCACTGTTGAAAATACGAGAGTTTCATTTCTTCCATGGATGATTTTAATCTAATCAAGAGCCTTAAAATCACCCGGCAATTTCTCCAATGCTCCCGGCAATATGCCTCTTCGAAAAATTTTGAACAGGATGACTCATACTCCAGTTATAATTTCGACGTTGATTATGACTATAATAATTAGAATGATATTGACGTGACCTATTAAAACCTCAGCGACAACAACGATGGCGATGTTTATCAATGATGTAAAGCGATGATAGCATGCACCTTGCGGGTTTCGTGAAGTGCACATTCAGAGTTCGAAGGACGTTCAGTTCAAAACACAAATTAGCCACATCAATTAGATTACAGTCGCATAATACAGTAATAATTAATGCTGAAGAAGAAACTCCTCTAAAAGCTTTACTTATTACATACACCTTTCCAGGCATATCTGCCATTATGGCACGTCATGTAAGGTTTCTCCAGAATGATGCAGACAGTGGCAGCTCCCACTCAGAAAATGGAACATCTCCTGACTAAGAAGGATAGATACTTCATGAGACCTCAACGGACTGGCAGGACTTAGTTGAACTCTCGTCAGTGAAACGCCAGGGCTCTAGAATTCTGAACTTTGGAGAGTGATAATCTGTTCTTCTCAAGTGTCGGCTTTCCGGCACGCTCTCAGGTCGTTGTTCATGTTCTGGTAAAACCCATTCTGACCGAGAGAATCACTGGATGGAAGTCACTCGGCGGAAAAGTACCAATCATTTCGCAAAGGTTATATCAGGCTAAAGGTTTGATCTTGTTGCAGGTCTGTGTGCCCAATTTGAAGGGAGAAAATGACTCCTTTCTTGAGGAAGTTGAGTGTGCCCTGTACTAAGTGCCGATTACCGAATGCATTTTTTTAAAGGGCGATTTTAATG